ATTTGGTGGTTTAATCAAATGTCCCCCTTTATGATGACTGTGGGAATGGTGGGGCTTGGTTTCATCTCCTCCTTCCCCCATCAGAAACCAAATCGCAAAGTGCATATAACATTAGCTGAGTGGTAGGAAACAGAGATTAATGGTTAACGGTTATTATTGGGACTGGAAGAGGGTTTCTCACAGAGCCAACCCCTCTCCCCAGCAATCGGTATCAGAACCTTTGCTATTCCTGGTATACATTAATGATTTGGTATGATGATCTCAACGTTTGCAGGAGTTCCATCTGGGTAAATGCGATGCGTTGCATTTTGGTAAAACAAACAAGGGCAGGACTTATATGATTGATGGTAGGGCCCTGGGTAGTGTTGTAGAACAGAGAGACCTGGGGAGGGTCCAGGAACATAATTCCTTTTGAAGTTCCTGTCACAGGTAGACAGGGGGGTTAAGAAGGCATTTGGCACACTTGCCTTCATTGCTCAGAGCTTTCGAGTGTGGGAGTTGGGGATGTCATGTTGAGGTTGTACAGGGATGTTGGTGAGGCCTCTTCTGGAGTACTGTGTCCCATTTCTGTTGTAGGAAGGCTATTATTAAACTGGAGAGGGGTCAGAAGAGATTCACCAGGATGTTGCCGGGAATGGAAGATTTGAATTATAGGGATGTTTTCCCTGAAGTGTAGGAGGTTGAGCGGTAACCTGATAGAAGTTTATAAAGTAATGAGGGGTATGGATAGGGTTAATGGTAGGTGTCTTTTCTCCCTAGGGTGGGGGGATTTTGAGACTAGGGCACATTTTTAAGGTGGGAGGAGAGAGATTTGAAAAGGACATGAGGGGCAGAGTTTTTACAAAGGGTAGGTTGTGTGTGGAATGAACTTCCTGAGGAAGTGCTGGGTGTGGGTACAGTTACAGCATTTAAAAGACATTTGGATAAGGACATGAATAGGAAAGGTTTGGAGGGATATGGGCCAGGAGCAGGCGGGTAGGACTAGTTTAGTTTGGGATTAGGGTCGGCATGGACTGGATGGGCCAAAGGGTCTGCTTCTGTGCTGTGCGGCTCTAAAACTTGGAGGAGTTGTAAATTGTGAGAAGGGCAGTGCGGAATTCTGAAAGGACGTTGAGAAGGTGTACCTGAGATGTGCAAAGGGTGGTGAAAGGAAAAACAGTCTGCTCACTCAGTGAGAAGCTGGGGCATGGAAGAGGGGCATTGGATGGTCATTCGGATAGAAATAGTGTGCAGGGAGGTGGAATACCAGGTGATGATGCTAATTTAAGAACTAGTAGAAGCACAATGGACTGAATGGCCTACCTTTTGAACCAGAACAAATTAGCAAGAGCCCAGACACTGGAGGATCTATGACTGGGGTACACATATATACCAGGAAGAGTGATCAATCTTACACCGTACCATGTTACTCCCAGTACTTACGTAAGTATCTGCCTTTAATTTTCTGTCTCGCCCTAGCTAATTATTCCCAGTGTCTCACTCTCTCCTTGTACGGTCACAGGAATCCAACTCTCCATTCGGTAGATGTTCCTGCCTCATGGTACCAGAATCTGGCTATGAGGGGGAGGTGACAGCCTAGTGGTATTATCACTGGACTGTAACCCAGAGACACAGATAACGTTCTGGGGACAAGGGTTTGAATCCCACCACGGCAGGTGGTGGAATTTGAATTCAATAAAATATCTGGGAATTTAGAATATAATGAATCCATTGCAGATTGTTGGGAAAAACCCATCTGGTTCACTATGTCCTTTTGGGGAAGGAAACTGCCATCCTTACCTGGTCAGGCCTACATGTGACTCCAGACCCACAGCAATGTGGTTGACTCTGAATTGCCTCCTGGGCAATTAGGGATGGACAATAAATGCTGCCTGGTCAGTGACACCCTTTTCTCGTGGATGAATTGAAAGAATGCTACAGATCTCTTACAAAGGCCTGACTCTCCCTGGGGTACAGGGGGTGGGCACTGACCCTCCCCGTGGTACGGGATGAGGGGGCACTGACTCTCCCCAGGGTGCAGAGAGCCTGCAGACAGTGTGACTGTTTCATCTTGGGGCAGAACGAAAGTGAGTGCGGGACTGTGTGAGAGTGAAAGAGGGAGAACTGAGAGAGGTGGTGATTGGGAGGAGATAAAGCGAGTGGGAAGAGAGATAGATTGGGAGAGGAAGTTAGAGAGAAAGAAGCAGCAAGTGTGAAAGAGAATTAATTTCAGTGCCAAAGTAAGTAAATGTGGGAATGTGAATGAAATGGAGGCAGAGATAGAGAGAGTGAGGCGGGGAAAGATACAGAGAGGTAAAGACAAGGGCAGAGATAGAGAGAGCGAGGCAGAGAAAGAAACAGAGGTAAAGACAGAGGGAGAAATAGCGAGGCAGAGAAAAAAACAGAGATACAAAGAGGTAAAGTGTGAGAGAGAGAGGGAGCTGGCTTTCTGAATAGGCTCTCTGCTGCAGGATCAGTGATGGGATGTTAATGAGAGATGGAGTGTGTGTGTGAGAGAGAAAGGTGGCTCTCTGCTGAAGGATCAGCGAAGGGTTATTAATGAAAGGGAGTGTGTGAGAGAGAGAAAGATGTGGCTTACTGCAGTGAAGGGGCATTAACGTGTGAGAGGGAGAGAGGGAGCTGATTGTATGATGTAGGATCAGTGAAGGGGCATTAATGTGTGAGAGAGCGAGGGAGCTGGCTTTCTGATGCAGGATCAGTGAAGGGGCATTAATGTGTGAGAGAGCGAGGGAGCTGGCTTTCTGATGCAGGATCAGTGAAGGGACATTAATGTGAGAGGGAGAAAGGGAGCTGGCTTTCTGATGCAGGATC